TGGCTGAGGTTTCCCTCAAATGGCTCCCAGAGGCTCCGTCCGGCAGGAAGACGTCGCAGAGAGCTCAGGAAGGAAAAGCATGTGCTGTCAGCCCCACAGAAACAGCTCTCTTTCCAAGCGGGCTTGGGTCAGTGCCAATCCTGACAGCACTCAAACTGCATTTCAAAAATGTTTCTGTTTAGATAATGCGATAGGCAGTATATAGCTTCGAAGAACCAGCAAAAAATAAACAAAACACATTTGCATAACAATTTTAGTCGGTTCCATTGGTCTGTAAAACAAGTTCATTACTTATCCATCAGATATGTTTGAAAGCATTTGAATATGCTTAATAAATCTTAGGTTCCAGAAGGGATTCCTCCTAGGATGTGCTAAACCACTTCTTCACCCCCTTTGATCCCATGAACAATGGCATGAAGTAGTGATGGTTAGGGATCAAAGTTATTTAAGGATCTGGGACAGCCTTTCTCACACTGAGCCTGAATTTCTACAGCAAAACTGCCCAACTGTATAAATTAGGTTTAGTTCAATATGGGGCTATACCTTACTTTAAGTTTGAAATCTATGTAAATTGTTGAAGCATCAACAGAAGAAGCACATATAAATAAGCATCCATCATCCATCCATCCATCCTCCAATTGCTTATCCTGACCAGCATCACAGGATATAAACAAACAAATTCTATGTTTGAGGCAGATACTGCAATAATACAGCAGTGATTAATCATCAATCAAATAGATAAGCCTGCTTCAATATGAGTCACAAATATATGGACAGTGGTATATTAAAACATATACACATTTATATATAAAACAATATGTAAACAAATATTTTATTTTTTTAATTTTACAATTTTGGAATATTACATATGTAACCAAAATACCTTTATTGTTTTTACTGTATATGTTTAGTCAAATATAGACAAAAAAAATATTTTTTGTGAAACTGAAAGCCATCTGCCATTCAAAAACCATGCATATATAGTTGTTGGAGTATAGGCAGCTAAAGTTTTATAGTGAGTGTTTTACAATCACTTGTCTGTTAGCACTGGATTTACAGCGGAACCAATAGATGACATGGTGTTCAATCTAGGTGTTTTCAGATGAGCAATTTAGATTTTAGTCCAAAAAACAGCAATTTTAGCTCTGGTATCCAAAGACCCAAGAATACGCAACTTTCAATCATCTATGACTACTTTTCCAGGTAAATGATTAAGGCAGTAGAAGAGCACTTAAGTCTAATGTAGGCACATAGGAGCCATTGTACAGTGGCACCTTGAAACTTGAACTTAATCTGTTCAGAACTCCAGGTCGAATCCTAAAAAGTTGGAGTTCTGATCGAATTTTCCCCATAATAAATAATGGAAAACCAATTAATTGGTTCCTGGCCCCAAAAGATTACACCTGAATATGTTTTTTTTAGCATTTAAACAGAAAATGAACCGGATAAAACAAGAAGAGCATATACTGTACTAAACAGATCTAAGCACATTTATCAAAACAGTAATTTGTAAAGTAAGAAAATAAATGTATCCAAACAATGTGTAAAGTTAAAAAAACCCAATGTGTCCTGCCCCATCGTCCGCTCCTTCCGTGTGCCATGCCCCCTCGTTAACCCCGTGTGGAATCCAAGTCTGATCAGCTGTTTCTGGTTGTTTTTATTAGCTCTTTGTATTTCGTCCGTGTTTCAGTTTGTTTCCCCAGTCTGGTCATTGTATTGTCCGTCTGCGTTTTGCCTGCTTTACCTGTAATTAAACCCCGTATTCCCCGATACCCTGACGTCTGCGCCTTTGTTACCGTTCCGTCCCGCTCGGTGACACTCCTCTGGTCATGGGTGACTTCAATGCGAGCACTGGCACTGAGAGGGCTGGCTATGAGGATTGTGTCGGTCCCCATGGGTCTGGTGACCAGGGTGAAAGTGGCTCCATGTTCCTTGACTTTGCAAAGGTTAAACTAAATGAATATGCAACAAAAGGAAATCCATACCCACAGAGCTCGAAACAAAATCCAGAACCATTTTGGAGTCTTTAAGCTATCGAAATATGCTCATTTTGGCAGTGCTCTTCATGAAATGGTGTCATTGTACTATTTATCATCATAATATATCATCCATTATGTGTGTGCTACATATTTAACTTTATGAATGACAATAGGAAAATAATATGAATAATGTAGTAACAGAAATAAATATATATACAGAAAACACTCCAGTGATTTTTTTCTTAAATGCACCAGAATATTTCTTGAGAAAGCCCAGTATGATACTAGCAGGGAAATCATTATATTTTTCTTTCTTGCACATACATGCACAGGACAGAAGCAATGGTTTCTTTCATGATCTCTAGTTCAGCCAAAAAAGATTATTTATTTCTCTACCAGAAGTTTTCTTTCTTCCTGTAAAGGTCTTCCTCAAAAACAATGTGCTGGCAGGAATGAACAATAATAAGTTTTTCCCTTAGCATTGCATCCATATACTGGAGCAACATATGTATTTTTTTAAGAAAGTTGAACTTCCCATTTCTTTGCAGACAATCTCATTGACAATTAAATCTAATTTGGGGAAAGCCGTGCTTATGGTCATACTTATTATGATAGACAAGTGTTGCCAAGGGAAAATATTTGCTGAATGATTGCCAGCTTATTGTCACTTGCAAATTACCAGCAGATACAAGTAGAGTCACACAGACCACACTTTCACTAAAGATTCTGCAGTGCAGTCTTTCATTAAAAAAAAAAAAACTTTGCAGCTGCAAAAATCTGGCATTGAATAAGCTGAACATTGAATAAGGAATAAAGGCATTTTGTTTCAACACCAGAAGCAGTTGTTAGGAGGATTTCCTCAATCACTGACCCAGCAAGCACAATGAACAGCATGAATGACAGACTAAAGTAGACTGTTGATGTCATTGTGATTGTTTTGTAATATGGTCTTGATGAAACAACTTAAATCCGTCCAGGAAAAACAACTTTTGCCCTTTAAGTAGAGTACATTCCTCCAGAAGCTTATTTTGATTTTGTTGTTGCTTAGCAACCCCTAATGTGACAGAATCTGTATGAAAGCTATATTTTTCATAATTGCATAAGTGCATTTACTGTAAGTTAGTAGAGAGTTCAAAAAATTAAGTTCAGGGTAAAATCTATGTTGATGATTAATTACGGTTTTACCCTCAGACACACGATTACTATAACTGTCACTACTGTATAAACTAGCCTAGACGAACCATTCGGTTATAGACTGCCAGTTAATATGAAAGAGAATCACGCTGAGATACGGTGAGACCTTCTATTTGAAAAGAACTGTTTAAAAAATCAAGCTATTCTCCGATCACAGGTGATACCAGTTATGTTTCCCTTGCAAAACAGTAAGCTGCAAAAATAAAGTATATTAGAAATACTTCATGCCATGGATGTTTGTACATAAGCACATATGGTCCATATGCATCTGTTCAACATGCTTAGTTTTCAGACCTCCTTACAGAATTAACAAGAAAACCAGGTACTGTTCAAAGCTAAAATGTCTCAAAAACTGTTACGTCCCTGGATATACTGACTTTTCAAGTTGGTTTGGAGAGTAGAGAATACGGAGTTTCTTCCTTATACAAAGTTTCAGAAACCTCTAAAATTCTTTTTTTCATAATTTTGTGACAAAATATTATTTGATCATGCTGATGGTTTAGAAAACCCTTTTTAGTGTGCAGGCTTAGCATGTCTGGTCCCCAGACATCACAAAGTGTAAATTAATAAAAGCAGGTTTTACTCTCCAGATCATAAATCTTTAGGTTTAAGGAAGGAAGTAGAAATAACAAGATAAAGCGACAGTACTACCCTCCTGTGGTAGATATTGGTATTATCGATGCGTCATTATAACAATTACAATATAATTTTACACATTTCTCTTACTCTCATTGTCGTCTGTGTATGTTGTATTAATTATTTTTGTTACGAGGTGCCATCGTGTCACATCGATGTCGACACCTCTTAACAGTATTTACCCAGAATGTCCAGACCTCTCTGCGGCTCCATGTCTCCTATTGTCACATTGATTTTAATTTTAAAATAATACGTATTAATTCAAATGCATCATTGATTCATGTCATAAAAACAGCCAGCAGTTTATTTTAAAATTATTACACTTTTCAGGTGTTCAACTTTCATATTATTCCATAACTTTAATTAGGAGTTGGATCAAGTTAAATATACAGCAGAACTTGAGTCAAAATGGGAAAACTAAACATCAATCATTTCAATAGTTATTTCACTTGTTGCCCATCTGATACTCTTTCAAGTTCATCCTTACAATAAATCATTAATAACAAAAAACTTTTACAAAAAATTAGTACAAAAAAAAAGCCATATACATGACTATGGATAAAAGCAACATTATGAGCAACTCATTATTATAAATAATCAATCCATCCATCTTAAACTGGTAACATTTCAGGGAACATTGATCATTAAGACACACGCAAACAAGGCTACAGGGAATTCGGAGATACTAATTCAGAATCTATATCAAATTAATATATTTGCTATTTGTTACTTTGTTTGGCACACCACGTTTCTGGTCGTTAACTTATGCTGGAGATTAATTTCTTGAAATGTTTGGGGCTGTACAGAAGAAACAGGTCTCTTAGAACGCAGTTAATCCAAAGACGCATGAAACGTGAAGGATAAACAATGAAACATTTTTCACGTTAAAATGGGAATCCTTTCTAGTAAATATATAACGGGATCATTTTAACGTTTTAACGTTATACTTTCGCATTAAAGTGTGAAAAAGGTCTCGTAATAAACAGAAACTGGGCAAATGTAACTTTTGTCATGGTGGTAGCAACACGCCGCTGCCGCCTATCTTTAACCAACGTTGAACTTGAAAATAGCCGATAAACGGTGGTAACCAGGCAACGGCGAAGGTCCGAGCGCCATGCCGAGCGCCCCCGAGGCCTATAGTCGGATGTGTTAATTTCTCATCTTCCGCTTCCGGTCCCCTGCTCTTCCGGTGGCTGCTTTGTAGCGGGGCCGGCCATATTTTCTCTGAGACAGCAGAAATCTGCCCGGCAGATAAGGTACCCGGTAAACGAACAGAGCTCTCCGCGTTAAGTAAGGAGGAAAACTTTCCGAGGACTTTCTCAAACTAGTTATCGGCTTGAATGCAGTACGTAAAGATTAAATAAGTGTAAATAATGCTGGATATCCGGCGAGGGACAGGGCGAGGTGCTGATGATGGCTCACAGACTAGCTAATCTAAGACCGATGTTCTTGGTAGTTTAATGTAACTGACTACTTAGATAATAAGAAACGGTCCATTAATCTTCTATCTGCAGTCTTTTAATACGTTAATACCTGTATCCCCGGTGGGAGTGTTAGGGTGTAGATGGATACAAAGTTCCGGACACAAATGAATATATATATATATTATATATATATATATTATATATATATATATATTATATATATATATATATATATATATAGAAGTATCTGTATATAGGTACACTGGTATGTGAGAAAGACTTAACTTGATAACGAATACTAAAAGATAACAATCTGGCGACCCATTATGATAAACTACTGGTATCGAGTAACGTTAGGCCCGAACCACATTCACCGGGTGCTCGGGGTAAGGGGCTAATATGGAGTGATAGCTTGGTGCTCGGGAGCCAACTAAGGTTATTTCTTGTTCACAGATAACTAGTTAACCAAGTTGGACACATTCTTCCTAGGTTACACATTCTGATGTAAAATTTGAGTGGATACTGTGGCGGCTGTTTAAAACGATACATTTTATTTCGTTTTAACACTCTCCCACCATATATTTCCTGTGAACTGGCTGAAGTGTATCGATAACTTCACTTGGCCGGGTACTATTGGCCTTACCTAGCTACTTAAGCACTCAGATTATACCGAAGCATTTAATAGAAACCAGTTTTGTTCTCATTGATGTTTCGTGTAATCGAATTGATCGTGGCCACGGTAATGTTGGTTAAATCTATGTGTATTCGTAGTTTTAAATAAATTGAGGTGTTTAAGGGTGGTCCAGACTCCCTAGGGTGGTTCTTGTTTCTGCCATTTACTTAATTATACTTATTTGACTGTCGATGAAATTATGGCCATTAATTAAACCTTTCTAGGCATTTTTTGCTTGTTTTTTTTTTGTATATTATAAATCAACTATAATTATAGTCAGTCTGCTGAATCAGGCATTAAAGATACCTCTGGGGCTCTGTGTATATCTGAATTTTTATACTGAATTTCAACAAGCTTTACTGTTATGTGGACAGAAAATTAATATCAGTTAATATCAAATATAGGACAAAAGTACAGTGAACTGAATCGTAATACTTTAGTTATCCTGGAGAAAGTTTAAATTAACTAATGTGATAAACTTCAGATAATTTCTGCAAAACATTAAACCTATTAGTTTGCCAGTTCTGTCACAGGACTCTCGAAACCTTATTGAAATTTCTGGCACACAAAAGAAATTGTATCAGAAATAAGAATTTCATCGGCATATTTAACTTCAAATGTTTTTCTTTTTGTCAATTGGTTCATGTATTGTTTGAAACAATTTCTTCCACCCTGCAAATTTTTAATATTACTAAATATTTATTAAGCTCAACACTGGAATTTTACTTAATTTTGTTTAATTCCAATCATCTGTGTAGTAGAAGTGGCTAAATAGATAAATTATACTGTTGTCTTAATGATCAGTGAAATACAGTAAAACCTTGAAACTTTAACGCCTTTTAACTTTACCAACTTGGACGTCAAATTGGTCTGTTGAATTTTTTGACTTGTACTTCGACCAAAATTTTGGAACTCGACTGTTCTTGCAAAGACTAGTATGGGTCAAGACACACATATCTACCAATTCGGACCTCGAACAAGTCTGTCGAGGAAATATCTAACCACGCCTCGACCAAAAACTCAGAATACGACAAAAATAAAATAAAAAAAGCATCCAACATTCCATTCAAGTTCGCACGTTTGCCTTCTGGAACAAATTAAATTTGTGTTCCAACGTACCACTGTAGTTATTTTTGATCACTTGATTTGTACCCTCTGGACAATTAACTGGATGATTGATCTGTCCTAATTAAACTGGGAGCTCAATTATTGCACTGCTATGTCAGTCATGCCTATAACATTCTGTTGATGTGGAATCTCGTGTTTTATTTAATAAAAAGACAATTCAGAGTGCTGGTGGATTAAAGTCTAGCAGTGGGTAGGCATGGCTTGGCTTTACCCATCCTGCTATGTAAAATATGGTGCATCGTGGCCTTACAAGTAGCCCTTTTGCATGTGGTAAATGGGGAAAATATATATCTTTAATGGCATGTATAGCAGTTGGTATAAATAAAATTGGTCGATATTCTTTGGTAAATGTTTTGGTAAGCTTGTGCCAAAGCTAAGTTAATTTTTTTGTTACTTTTCGGCAGTTAATCAGCTGTAAGAAAAAGAAACATTTGGGGGGGATGTTTTTCCCTCAAATCAAAATCAGTAGAGTGGCAGATATTGTACATTTAGCAGGACTTCTTAAAATCCCTGAAAATGTTCCAGCCAATATTACACTTCAGTTTTGGGGTGGCAGTGATTCTGCTAATCAAGGCAGAATGGTCCATTCGGCAGCTGGAGATTTATTGACTTATGCTGTTTTTAAAACATGAATAACCATAGGTAACTTGTTGCTAATGTTCATGTGAAGAACTTACAAACTTATCAAACCCACAAAATTCTAGAAATGTAAATCTTTCTTTTACACAGCATGCTAACTTCACTCTAATCTCCACTACCTGTCACCTTATCATTTTTAGATATTTTGAAAAACAGTCAAAATATTTCTTACAAGCATAGTTCTTGGGAGGGAATTGTCAGTACTGTACTGTTGGTGCACTCCATCTAAATTTATGCATAAGTATGTTGTAAAATTGAATTGAGAATTTTGTGTTAATGTGTTAGTCTCGGGGGTTTATGATGATTTAAAGTGATGGTAAATTCTGAAATCAGTCAGAAATTTGCTGTAGTTAATAGTAAAACAAGAGTATTGACTGGACTGTAGAGTTGATCTTCTAAAAAAAAAAAAAGTAGTATTTAACAATTATACAAATGATTAATGTTTAATATTATCAAGATGTATGCATTCACTGACCCTGAAAATATGCTGGATTGTACCACTTAGCTGGAGTTTTGTGGGTCTTTGCAGTGTATTGAAAATATTACGTGAAAAAAGTTTGACCCAAACATCATCAGAAGTTTGTTTCATTCCTAAACAGATGTCACTGTTTGAAATCATATTGATTTCACATCACTGTGAGACATTTATGTCATATTAGATTATTTAAGACAAACTTGTCATTTGGTGGTTCTTAATGGGAACACTTCTTGCTGAATTTGGATGGCACTATTATGGGATTGAGTGGATGATAAATCACAGGCTAGCTGCACTGAGGGTTACATCAAGCTCTTGTTGAAAGCTTGCTTTTTAATTCAGTATGTAAAGATTCAGAATAGATGGAGGAAAGAGGGCCATTCATTTAGTACATGGAGACTGAAGCACCAGTTGGAAACAAGCAAGCTTGATTCTAAATTAAACATTTTATTCACTCCACTTTTTCTTGAACCATGATTCAAATCATTGCATTAAAACTAATTGAATCTATTTCTGTCTTGCCCCTTTTACCACAAAATAGGTGCCACTCTCTTCGCCAAACTGTCGGACATGTCAGGACCAGTTCCTAGTCGGGCACGGGTGTACACTGAAGTGAACACTCATCGGCCCCGAGAGTATTGGGATTATGAGTCCCATGTAGTTGAATGGGGGTAGGTAAACTCCTCGTATGCTTTTAAAACCCTATTGGTTTACAGCAAATCAGGCTGAGATGGTTCTGGCAATGTGGTGTAGATTTTATGAATAATATTGTTGCAGCCAATGATATTTTAATTCTTCCAGATGTAGACAAAGTGAATATGGTCAAGTATTTCTTACCTGCTTAATTAAGTACATTTTACAGTACAGCTTGATTTTGATTGTTAGGCTTTGGTAGTAGATACTTTCTGGAGAGCAAATGTTGAGTCTTGTTTTGCCATTGTTTCAGAAATCAAGACGACTTCCAGCTGGTGCGAAAATTGGGACGGGGCAAGTACAGTGAAGTGTTTGAAGCAATTAACATCACAAATAATGAGAAAGTAGTAGTGAAAATACTCAAGGTAAGGCTTTTTATGTATTAGGAGATTTTTTTGATATTCTGTAGCTTAAATAATGGTGATTTTTATTAGATAAGATATTGATTAGCTTTTTCATTGTGACTTCATTGTGTTCCTGTATGTGCTCCCATTGCAATGTTTTCTTACAGCCTGTGAAGAAGAAGAAAATAAAACGTGAAATCAAAATTCTGGAGAACCTCCGTGGAGGACCTAACATAATCTCTCTCATCGACATTGTCAAAGACCCTGTGGTAAGTGTCAAACAATGAAATACTGCTGTGTTGATGTTTACATTCTCAAAGTCTGTGAAATTTACTAAAGCCGCCCCCTTCCCCCATACAGTCACGGACACCTGCTTTGGTATTTGAACATGTCAACAACACAGATTTCAAGGTAATATTAAGCTTTTCCACTTTTCCTTGTTGCTTAGCAAACTTGAATGGAATGTTGGATGCTTTTTTTTTTCTATTTTTTTTTTTGCATAAGGCGCTTTCCACCATTCTACCGTTGCATTCCCACCACAGGAACTCTGCCTGATTGTAGTTCATCTGCAGTAGTTCCTGAACTTTTTTTAGTCTCTACTCCAGGGTAGGTACTTTTCACTCGGAAAAAGTACTACTGGGTGGGGCTAATAGTGATAAACTTTGCTGATAGATTAACCATAAGCACCGGGAAAAGAGAGTAGTAGTGGAGCAGAAATTGAGCAAATTAAATTATTTTTGTTTATCACTTACATCGAATGCATTAACAGATCCCTGTTTTTCTACATTGGAATATTGATGAATTAAAATCAGTAACTGATATACCTCACTGGGGCTGGCAGTGAAACTTGCCAGTGCTTATTAGCAGAATATAATTTTTTTTATTCTGTGGAATATAAGAGAAATCTGCTGTCGTGGCACATATAAAATAAGTGCACTTTTGTCCCATTGTTGTATGAAATTATATGTGACGTTTAACCTACAAAGCTTTTTGAGTCTCCCATGCTTATTTAGCATAAAGGTCACAGTTCCTGTTTGTGGTGGGAAAGCAACAAACAAAAGTGGCCTGAAACTACAGAAGTTCCTGGTTGAAACTTGGAACTAGGTTCCTGAACTTCAGTGGGGATGCGCCTGTATATACAGAAGTTTTTAGAATAGAACTGATCTGTGTTTTACTAGAGGACAGTTTCCTTGAATTTAGCTTGTCACAACTGATTCAGAATTTCAAGTTTTGAATGCTTTTTTTTTTTAATTGACTGGTCTTATATTGATTGTTCAGAATTTTTATATTGATATGTTTTAATCAACAGCAATTGTACCAGACCTTAACGGACTACGACATCCGGTTTTATATGTATGAGATTCTCAAGGTGAGTATGGTAGAACAGTTGTGTGCAAAAGTTACGTTCTCTGCTGACGCAGGTTGATCTTCATCTTTTTTGAGTGCGTCTGCACCTGGAAATATATTTCTAGAAGACAGCCATGTTTACCTGTCGATCTAGTAATAATTTGAATCTTGACTTGCTTATTCCTTCACACACACATGCTGTGCCATCATAACATAACTAATTCTTCTTTGGAGACTTTAGGTTAGGAGTATCTTCATTAGTGTTTAGGTCTCCAGTACCAAAGGGGTTTTCCCTATCAACACAATAAGGCCATGACAAATATTTGGACTGTAGGTAATCAGTGGCCTGTACTACGAAGAGGGGTTACTGACATTTTGTCCAGACTACCTTAAATCTGACATGTTACCTCGATAAGCCAGTAACCCCGCTTCGTAGTATAGGCCCCAGTTTGTGCACATAGACCAGTGTTTTTGTGGTGGTGGTGGTTGTTGTTGATGTGTTTTTTTTTTGTTATTTTGTATTCAGTTTTTATTGTATACAGTTAAGGTTCTTTAATAGTTTCAGGAGCAATAGTTATAGTTTTCATTTAGTAGTAGTTTATTTTATTTTTAGCATTTTGCTAGCTGAGTGCATATCTGGTCTTCCTTGATGTAGGTATGCAGTTCAAAACTGACATTTAAATGGTATCTGGCTAGAATTTCTGGTTTAACAGGTACCATTGCAGATAAGCATTTATCTTGTGTATGGAGTCTGTGGTTAGCTTAAGGTGTTCCCTTATTGAGTGCAGTTAGGCTGGAAAAGACTGAAAGTTAAGTTTTTAAAAAGTCAGCATCTTCTTGTCTTGAATGTTCTCTCTCCTCAGGCCTTAGATTACTGTCACAGTATGGGAATCATGCACAGAGATGTGAAACCCCACAACGTAATGATCGATCATGAGCATAGAAAGGTAACGCCACCTTGTGTTTTTCATAAAATTTGACTTTTAAATAAATTGTCCAAGTTTTTATTTGAACTTAAATTGGCATCTAAGGTGAAAATTCCCCTAAACAGCTTTGCTTTGAATTTTTGTATTTTGTGCATAAATGAAAAGTGAGATTATTGTCTGAGTTGCATTCAGTGTTCAGTTCAGTAGTATTCGAATGGCCTCCTCCTGAGACTCTTCATAACTTGCGTTCTCTTTTTTGCAGTTAAGGCTTATTGACTGGGGTCTGGCGGAGTTCTACCACCCTGGACAGGAGTACAATGTCAGGGTGGCATCTCGCTACTTCAAAGGGCCAGAGCTGCTTGTCGACTACCAGGTGTGTCTCCTTTGTGATGCCTAATGGATTGAGGTTCACTTCTTCCCTTTAGAGTTGTTTGAGCATCTTTTGACTTTCATTGAGTGAAAGAACAACATTTTGTTGATAGGAGGCAATTATGTTGATTCTTTTTAACCTCACACTGTAAAGGAATCTGAGTCTTGAAGTGCTAGAATGGTAGCCAGAGGAAGATTGCTAATGTGTGAGGTCTTTTGCAGATGTATGATTACAGCCTTGACATGTGGAGTCTTGGCTGTATGTTGGCGAGCATGATCTTCAGGAAGGAGCCGTTCTTCCATGGTCATGATAACTATGACCAGGTAAATAAACACCCCAGGGATATGTTCACTGGTAGCACTTTGTATCCGGCTATAAGAAATTCCAGTTTATGAAGATGACTACTTTACTCTGCGCCTCTCCTTCCCCCAGTTGGTGAGAATAGCCAAAGTCCTTGGAACAGAAGACCTTTATGACTACATTGACAAATATAACATTGAACTGGAGCCGAGGTTCAATGATATTTTAGGAAGGTAAGTGGTCTAAGTCATTGCTTTCAGGTTTAAAAAAAAAAAAAGTATTCCAGCAATCAGAAATCATTTAACCAAAGTGATTATCAGAGGAGGAAATGAGGATTTTCAGATGATGTGGTGGGTCCAAACCAGTGTTAATTTTGACAGCAAAATTTTATTTAGTTTTAGTCAGTCTTTTGACTAAAATGTAATTTAGTTTGTCATTTAGTCATCTATTTTAGTTTTAGTCTAGTTTTAGTCAACTAAATATCATAAGATTAGTTGACTAAAACTACAGTTGATTTAGTTGACTAAAATTAAAAGTGCAAAGTATAATGTTTAAACTTTCCCTTCGATTTCTGAAAGTCATTATGCTCACTAAGATGAAATGAAACCAATGTTAAAGAATGGTATTAAGATCCGACACACAAATACAGATTTGACTCTTATTTGAAACACAAACATATGTTTGTTTACCTGGAAACTGAGTACTGTAAAATCAGTAGTGCCAATAGTACAAAAATAAAATCACTTCAAAGAAAAAGTGCATAGGCTATAATGCCACCAGGCCTGCTCTCTGAATATTAAAATAAAAATATTAAATATTTGTAATTTTTATTTGATATTGTTCGCTGTTAAATGTTTCACCTTGAAATTCTCTAATATGTTCAAAGAAAAAGACCAATAATGGTCTCAGGGATTTATACCCATTATCAAGAAATTTTTTTTTCCAAACATTGAAAACATACTTCTCAACGCCTATCAGTAGCAGGAAAGGCAACCATTCTATTTTAGCATTTTCAACATCAAACAAATTACCCCAAGGCTACAATTCTATTAGTGTATAGAGCCCAAAATCCTCTCTTTCAGGTGATTTCGTATTCGTTGAAGTTTCCGCTTTTTAACAATTGTATAAAGGAATGTTATTTGTTATATAAATCAACTCAGGTGAAACAAAAAAATGTACGTTTTCAGGGTTGCCAAATTTCTAGCTTCTGGCATGATACGCTTTCAGACTCACGCAGGAAATCTTACGGTAAATCTATATTATTCCATTATAAACCTAAAACTAGCTATGTCAAAAGTGTATTTACACGGTTAAATGCAGAAGCAGACTATTTACAAGGTAAGAACTGTTTCATTTGTGTGCAGACATCTCGAATTGAAAATCTCACTCCAGCCAGCTGGCTAAAGTTGGCAACCCCGCGTTTTATTTAAAATGAAAAGTAAAAGGCAATGTTTTCGCCTGAAACGGCTTGTCATTCTGTTTGCATTGTTACTCTGACAAATATAAAGCTAATATGAGAAAAACATGTCATGTTTTATAATGTTTTGAAATTATATGACCGCCCATATCCTACTCTAATAGCAATTGAAGTGATAAATTCCTATGTATTTATATTAAAACGAGACTTTCATTTTATTACCTGTCTGGGATTATCGAAACCAATTCACTTAAATCCATGAACAATAAAATATGACATAAAAACGATTGAATTAAGGTTTTACGGTTTAAGTTAAACACTTTATTTAAACATGCACAACTTTCACATTTTATTTTATCTTATTTTGAAATGCATCCCTACTTTTAAAACTAGTAAATGAGAACATTATATATATCGGCACTCATACATATATGTTCAACTCTGTCACGTGACAATAAATATTGTCAAAAGGTTTTTGAATTGTACTGAATTAATTTGATTTGACAGTCAGATATTGATTACATGCAATGTTGATACAACTAATAGGCTACTTAAATATATATCACACTAAATAGTTAGACATTACGATCTTCTCTAACTGGACCTCTTTAAATTTCAGTTGAATACCCCTGCCTTACACGAACTACAATAGTTCTGATTGTATCTCGTCCCTGGCAAACTTTTTTGTCGTGTTTTTTTCCGTTGACGACAGTGTCTATACACTTCGTCATAGTCTTAGGTCTCGCAAAATCATTTTTATTTAGTTATTGTCTCATTGTAGTCTGGAAAATAAGTCGTTGACAATAACGAAAATTTTTCGTTAACAAAATTAATACTGGTCCAAACCCTCTGCCCTGCCAGGCATTCCCGCAAGCGATGGGAGAGGTTTGTCCACAGTGAGAATCAGCACCTGGTCAGCCCAGAGGCCCTGGACTTCCTGGACAAGCTGCTGCGATACGACCACCAGGCCCGGCTGACCGCCCGGGAGGCCATGGAGCACCCTTACTTCTGTGAGTAGTCACCCTGCTACTTCAATTAAATTTCAAACCTCTCTCACCCACATTTTGCTGGACTCTTGGATTGAATAGGCAGCTTTAGGTTCTTGTCCATTTTCTTCTACTTTGAGCCCATAAATTATCCACTAAGTTTGATCTGACACAAAGTGGCCCTGTTCACAGTATGTAGTGATGGACTGGGAAGAATGTATCTGATATGAGCTAGCAATCAGCTCCAAGATGATGGTACAGTGCACATTTTTGCTCATTTCAAAGGATTCACAAGTTCCCTTCTTGTGAACCATGTGCTTGAATATGCAGTAATAAAAGTGTGATTGGTGCTGATGGAGAATATTGGTCTGCTTGCAGATCCAATCGTGAAAGACCAGACTCGAATGGGTGCTTCGACCAACCTGCCGAGTGGAAACACACCTGTGAGCTCAGCCAGCATGATAACAGGTGAGAGGGAGCCCTTTGCTCCATACACTTTGGAGATCTGATGTCGCTTTCCTAGTTTTCCACAGGCTGGCATTTCTGGGTGCAGGATCTCAGCTGAGCATCCCTTAGTGTCCGTGTGGAATTCTGGGCTGTACCTTTGCTAGCTTTGCTCATCAGCATTTTTTGGTCTCTGTGGAAAATGATGGATCAGTGGGTTAATTATTATGTAAAAACTTGCCACTTTGAACCACTGCTTCAGAGGTTTTACAAACATTTTATACTACTGTGTACCACCGGAAAGTATTACACACTCTGTGTACCACCCTTATGACGTTGTGTCTAATTGATACTGGGTAAGATCTTCTCTTATGTTCACTGCACAAGAGTCATAGTTTGACATTTTCTCTCCCTGTACTAGCATGTGTGTCATGTTTGGTTGTTGCAGTGTGTTGCTGCTGGTGGCAATTTCATCATGCTCCTTAAGTTTAATTAGATTTACTGTTGTTTTATGAACCATGATTTTGTATCTCCTTGATAGTTAATGGAGCAATTTGTAGCCTGCAATGCTTTGGATTTGGTTGTTAACTTAGAAATATTAACATACCGCCGATATTTTGTTCCATTTATTTTGCTCATTAATGATATTGCTGGTAGGTCATTACGTGGTAACAGTTAAACACTTTTTTTTTCGTAGCTGCTTTTTGACAAATGCATCTCAGATTTAGACATAATTTTTATTTACTTGGAGGCTTGTATTTGAAAAGAAGAAAATATGAATCATATTGAATCATAGTAGTTCTGTATTTTCATCATTGCGTTTAGTTTTGACCACATTCTGTTTCTGTGGGTTTGACAACTGAACATTTAGTCCACTTCATAAAGTAGAGTATCACTGTTGTGCCTGAAAATAGCTTTTTTTTCTTTTTTTTTTGGTTCATATCACCCAGGCCTATCAGAATATAGTATAATTGAGTAATCTGACTGCAAAATATTTGTTTCAAATGAAAAATTAATTTACTTAATCAACAATTCGCTTTGTCATGTCACCAGTCCTATACTGTATATACTGTATTTACTCTTAGTTGCCAGGGCCTTTATCCAAAGCCAAATAAAGGAGCAGGCCTTTATTTGAGGCAGGCTTATATCAGAGGCAGGCCTTTATTTGAGGCAGGCTTATATCAGAGGCAGGCCTTTATTTGAGGCAGGCTTATATCAGAGGCAGGCCTTTATTTCTAACTCCCTCTGTTACTGCATCATGCTGTTAATACAAATTCTATATATGAATGAATCAAATGCCACTGTTGTTTCAGTTTAACCCTGTAAAACAGACTACATTTATTGGGAATATTCTCTTAAAACAAACTATAACGGTAGATTACAGTATTGTAAGGTCATCAATTTTAAGAGCTGGCTAATAGTACCAGTAATTGGCGCCTTAATGTATTCTTAACTTTTCATCAATGCCAGGTAAATCATACATACGATCAGTTTAACTTGTGTGTAGTATGACCAGTCATGTACCAGAGTTTACCGTAACTACATGTTACTGATATGAGTCTGTACGCAGTTTCAGGTATTAAACTGTGGAGAGGAAAACATTTTAATTCATATTTGTACAAAACATGATGCTTGTTTTAAAGCCCAACATAATTTGACAAAATGTACACTTATTGTACACAACTCGAGTACGGGTACTAAAAATCATCATGTTTCAAATTATTGCCATCAGCTCAGCCTTATTTAAATGTACCTCATTACTGGGAAGAGGTGACGTTTAATGTTAAATTACTCCCTTCCCAAACCCCCTTCAGGGATCCCCGCCTTGCCAACAGCTTCTCCCCTGGGGCCTCTTGCTGGGTCGCCCATCATCTCTGCCACCAGCACACTGGGCACACCCGTGCCAGCTGCCGCAGGGGCCCAGCAGTGACGGGCCCCCCCGCTGCCACCGGATGCCATTGCGACCACCTTGCTGCAAACTTCTTTTCCAATTGGGTCGTTTGTCGAAGCAGCCTGGGAATGTCGGCTCCTCCCTTCCCCACCGGCGTTCCCTTGCTTCTGTGAATTTGAGTTTTTAAGTAAACCTGAAATAAGAATGAAGGTGAATGTTTTTGTATGTCTCATACAGGTATTACGTTTCACAGGCAACATGCGTGTCAAAGGCACATATGTGCTGCAAAATTAAAATTGTAAGATTGTGGGGTTTAAAACTGGCTAGATTTTTAATGTAGGTGAAACAGTAAATGGGAAATGACCTGCAGTCTAAAGGGAGAAAGAAAATGGACCAAAACATGCTGTATACCTATAAATGGAGTGTTAAACACCACCTTCTACAACTCGTGCTGTTCCGTGACTGTACTTTTTACCATCCCTGTTTGACAATGTTCGACCTTTTAACCAAACCTTTCTACTCTCTGCTTTGAGCTGAGCGGCAGCCCACTGGCTGCATGCTGAAGGGACGCGATACTAAAGATCAAAAACATTTTTATGTTGTTTTTCTTGGCCAAGGATCCCACCTGTGGTGCTGGCATGTGTGTTTTTTCAGTTCTACAAAAGCCCTGACACTGACAGTATATGCAGATTGGAAATAAACTCATCACATGATTTACTGCCCTGTATATATCACCTGTATCAGCACAGCAAGATGGAGAACCACAGCTATAGTTTGTTCTGCCCAGGATTCTCCATCTATGGAGGGCCGGTTGTATGCAGGACTCTGCTCCAGCCACTTCTGAAATGACTGAATTAGCAGTGAATTTGACATTGCCCAGCAGACATAAGGGCCTTTGAGAATCTCTACTGAACCTTGCTGCTACATTTTCATTTCAATTTCCCCCCACAGTTTTATGTACATTTGTGTGTGGTTTAAGTTACAGGTGGCACAAATCCCCAGAAGCCAGCCTTGTTCAGTGGTTTCTTTTTGTCTTTCTTTTCTTTTTTTTTTTTTTTTAAAAACAAGATGCTCTTATTTTCTTGAATTCAAGTAGAATAACCAAAGTTTACTGAATTACTTGTAATGACTGACCAATTTTTTGTTTTGTTTTGTTAGAGATGGGTGGAGTGGTCTTAAATACCTGCCTTTAAGAGCTAGGCATGTGGTCTAGTGGACAATACATCACATTACTCGGTGTTCCAGGCAATCCAGACATGAAAACTGTGTTCCCAAACAAACAGGACTCTTGAATTAAAATAGTAGCCCCCCCATGCAGAAATGTAAAACATTGAGTTTTTATGCAAAAGGTGTCTGAGGATTGACTGAGTAGCATACCAATACCCTGTTAACCAGTTAATTACCTTACTCAACACTTGGTTTTCGCTTTGTTATATTCTGTAAAAATTAAATGACAATGGAAAAACTTGAAGGGTGGAACCTTACATTATAGTGCCATTGATAAGAACTTTGTCAGTTCATGGTCTTGTAAACTTTGACCCAGGCTGTACGTATGCATTAAACTTTAGTTAAAAAAAAAACAAACTTAAAATCCTGTAATACATGCACCGTTGGAGTGAAGTTGTTTAAAGACATCACTGTATATATTTGTCCTTATGTGGAAAAGCAGTATGTAAGAATGTGTAAATAAATGTTTTATTTATCAAGAATAAATGTCCCACATTACATTGACAGTTTAAACAGTTACTGAAATGTACAGCTTAAAGGTGCCATAAAATGCATCTTTTCAGTATTTTAAATTGTTCTTTGGTGTCTACATAGAAGGTATGTGAAGCTGGTTTGGTCAAAAAGTCCTGAAGTGGATTTACTGGCTCATTTACAGCCCTATTGTTTGGCCCAGGAATGCAACACTGTGTTTCCCCCTTTTCGGTGGGCACATTAATATGTTGATGAGCTCTGCTTTGTTTGGCTGTTTGTGGCACTGTGACGGCTCACACGGAACCAACATTTCTACAGTTGTGTGCCATATAACGACGTTTCAGTCAACGATGCACCACATATATCGACGGTGATCCCATAAGATTATAATGGAAAAATTCTTATCACCTAGTGCCCTTTTGGCACAACGTATATATATATATATGTATGTATATATATGTGTATGTATATGTATATATACACTCACCTAAAGGATTATTAGGAACACCATACTAATACGGTGTTTGACCCCCTTTCGCCTTCAAAACTGCCTTAATTCTACGTGGCATTGATTC